ATTAATAAAATTTTGTCGAGATTGTTTTGCAAGATGTGTGAAATTCTCTAAATGTTCAGTCAGCTCATATTCTTCTCCTAGGCTTTGACAAATGGTCCATGCATTTGCTGAATTCACAAATTCAAGACTCTGCAGAAGGTTCAAAATCTTTGGCATTCCATAGTTGATTCTGGTCGAGTTTGTGATCCTAATTGCTGAAAATCATTATATCCAATTGTCTTAAATAAATTATTTTGAAGCTAAAATAAATACTGTAATTAGTAACTATATATATATAATTAAATAATATAAGCTTAAAAAAATTTACCTCAAAGAACTTTTTACAATTGCGTGCTGCAATTATCCAGTGGTGATGTTGTAGAATAGGAGGTATTAAAGTTTTTAAGGCCTTGTTCACCTCCTCGATAATCACGTCTAGCCTTTGGTACTGTTCATAAATGTCTGATCGAGAGACAACACAATTTCCTCTATTATATTCCGCATTTCTGGATGAAGTCGTCTCAATTGAATTTCATCAGCAATATCTATTAAATGATAAATGGGATGACGCCTTACAAACCAAATGGGAGAAAACGTTCTTTTAGCAACCCTTTTTAAAAAAGGATCATTAGTTCTTATGGCTTTTTGATAATTAATTATTGCCTGAAGGTAAACAAATGTCTGTTATAAAAAAAAATTAATATTAATTTAAAAAAATAAAAACAGAAAAATTAATTAATAGTGACCTGTTCATATTTTATTTGATAAAGAGAATCTTGCTGTTTTTAACCTATGTGAGATATCCTTCGACAGATGATCAGAATGGCTTTTTACATGCAGCTATAGAAGCTTCATAGCCATTGCTTGACGATATATGCTATAAATTGAATCTCAAGACTTATGATGGTCTATACATTTTTTAAAATAAGCGAGCTGATTTTTAGTCTGATAATCTTAGCATATTGCAAATCATTTCAAATTGATTTCCCTAATATAAAATTATATATAATAAAATCAATAATGTTATGAATGATACTTTTTATTTTTTCAGGTAACCTATAATGCTATTTATCAGTTCAACTCTACGTATGATCGAAGTATATTCATTTCTTCATGTAACTGCCTTGATATAAAAACTAACCAGGAAAACTTCTCCCTTACCTTGTTAGCATGATGGTATAGAACACCATCACAGATGATAATGATCTATTTTTTGAGTTCCATCCCTAATACCTGATATTGCTTCTATATGTGAAAGAAATTTTCAACATTTATAATTGAATTAGAGTTAATATTAATGAGATCAGGAATGTAAATATCGGGAATATTAACTCTCTAATCAGTAACATTTCATTGAGTAAAACTGATCCTAGGAATACATGTAACATTTTGTTCGTCATTAATATCATAAGATTTAAAGATAAGTGGATTGTTTAATTAATCGATCGTAATATTTACGATTTCAGCTTCTTTTTAAATGTTGGTTAAGATTTGTAATGGCATTTTGCATCTTAGACATACCTTTTTTCGATTCTCAATATTTTGTTGACCACAGCCGAGACAAAATTTCATATTGGTAATACTAGTTGCTGTAGACGTTACTAGAGAATCGATAATATTAGTAGAGGATGATCTTTTATCAGATAACAAATTAAGAATCTCAGTGAGATAAGTATATAATTCCTTATCGATTCTTTTTTGCATTGGAGAGCTGATATCAAAGAGTTCTTCATACTGTAATCTAGAAAGTAACTGACATGCCTAAGGTAAATAATATGTTGAATTCTATTTTGCGATGCCATATTTAATGCAACGAAACTGGTAACAATATGGTAAATCACTGTATTAGATCCTTAATCGAGATAGTTCTTCTATTCTTTTTATTTATTATCAAATGCAAGGAATAAAAGGCCTTCAGGTAATGGCTCTTCGTGTTTTGATAATTCTTCTAGCCACTTTGAAATCTAGAAGAGCTTCCTGAACTTGTAATATGATTGTTAATATTAATAACCAATTTTGATCATGCAATCGAATATTTAATAGCCGAAGCAACAAGTTGAATTTTCGATACATATTTTCCATGCCATACCTCATATATTGAATTGATCATGACGGTAGTTTTAAAAAGCTTCTCCTTACTTAAAACGTCTGCGTTTCGGTCATTCTGAATTAGGGTTTCAATAAATTTAACAGCAACTCTATTATGCCTATCGAGCTATTCATGTGGATTATATACCATGAAACTCTTTAGGGAAAACCTATTATTATCTCAAATTAGTAAATTCACATCTTCGAATAATGACTCACATTCTAGTTTTGCTATTTCTATAATTGCACTGATACGTTTTCTTGGTTATCAAATCATGAATTCTACTGCTTGGTAAAAGTCTTATTGATTTGACATTGCTCTTCATATAAATTTTGGATCGTATTCATATTGTCATAGGCCTTTTGCAGTTGCTTTTTTGATTCTTTTACTTCGTTTCTTTGATCTTCTAAAAACTAATACATTCGTTTAATTGTATTGTTAAGTTCTGTGATTGATTGCGATTTCTGTTGAATTTTTAATTGAGTAGACTCTATAAGCTTTCTAGTCCTATTAAGTTTAACCATTATCTCAGTATAACTACTAGCTAGATCATCTTGACTAGTATTGAGTCAGATCCTTTTACTTTCTTGAATAGAACCTACAAGATGTTGATAAAACTGATTAGTTGCAACGATTTGATTATAATGTTTCTCACAAATCGATAGGATTCTAAAGGGTAAAGATTAGCAAATTCAGGAAAAAATTATGATAAAGTATAAGTTACTTAGTTGATTCCTGGCCGCTCGCATGCTACCATTTTTGTGATTCTTTAGTTTCATAAGAATTTAACCTGATTTTATTATATTTTTCAATTAAGTCTGTAAAAATACATAAAAGATCTTTCGCTTTTAGTTTCTGGTAAGCAAACACTACAAAAAGGTCATTTAAATTAACAAAGGTTGCATTCTTTTATTTCTTCCTACCTAATAACGAACAAGGAAAATGCTTAACTTTAAGTCTCATTTACTTTTTCAAAGATAGCTAACTATAAGGGTTTATTTGGGATTATCGAAATTGGATATCTTGTACAGTCTATTCATATATTTTTTGAATATAAAAATATTCATAAAAACCCTCGATTAATGCAGTAATGCAAACATAAAAAATTTTGCCTGAGCCAATCAAATCTACGAAATTATAAATGGATTATTCTAGAATTCAGTTTCCTAATTTAGTATGTTCCCAGACTGTAGTTCATGTCACAAATGTTCAATAGGATTAAGATCTGAAGATTGAGAAGGCCAATCTGAAAGAATCTTAATCTTTTTCTGTATAATCCAATTTTTGACATCCTTCGCGGTATGAACAGAAGCGTTATCATCCTGCAATGCATAAGGCTGTTTACGATGTTTAGATTTGATGAATGATAATAAATTTTTTTCTAAAATATCAATGTAACCAAATCTATTTATTTTACCATCTACTTTTACTAATGGTCCCAATCCTTTTCCTGAAAAACATCCCTATGCTATAATATCTCTGCCACCATGTTTAACCGTTGATGTTAAATTCTCAATATTATATCGGGTTCTATCTTTTCGCCAAATACGAACAGAACCATCATTTTGAAAAATGGTAAATCTGGACTCATCACTCCAGATGACAGTTTTCTATTGTCTAACTGACCAATTTTATCGTTTCATATACCATAACAATCGTTTTTCATATTAGGATTCATTAAGAAGTGGTTTTGATGCAGAAACTCGTAAATTCATTCATATTTAATAAAGGTTTTTATGAATAGTTACAGCTGAAATATTTTTATCTTGTGAATTATTAAATTTCTGTTGAATTCTTCAAGAAAAAATCAATTGTTTTTTTTGACAATTTTTGAAAGGTTATGACGATCATCATTATTTATGGAACATGGTCTTCTGGTTCTTTTAGCTATTAATCTATTGTTAAGATTTTTGTATCAAGAAATTGTGTCTGTAATAGTACTTTTTGGAATTTTTAAGATACGACTAATGATTTTATGAGTCCTTCCTCCTATCCAAAGTCCAATGACTTTTTTACTCTCAAATTCATTTAATTCGTGATTTTTTCCCATTTCAAAATATGCTTCGATAGCACAGTAAGAAAAGTTAAAAATCATCACTACACAAAATTGATCATTGTTTATTGCCAAATTTGGTGTATATATCATAACAATAAACAAATAAACAAATTTTAATTGTCAGAAATCAAGCATTTATTTAAAAAAATAATTTATATTAATTAATATATCCAATCTCAAAAAAATCAAAAAAAGCTTGACCGGTGTTAGCTTAAACAGTTCGTCGTTAAGTTAACTAAGATTATTTGCCAACAGGGAGTTTAAGTGCGTCTAAACTATAGAAAAAATAAACACAGATTAGTTATGTTGAAGGGTCAGGTCGTCTTTATTGATATAGATTTAAAGAAGTATGAAATTGTATATTGAGCAAAGATATAA